CGCTCTGAGCCTGCTATATGGGGAGGGGGGAATATAAATCCAATAAAATGAAATAAATAAATTATACCCCAAGCATACCCAACTGCATGGCAAACTGTTTTTGAACCTGAAGATGAGTTTCAAAGGCAGCTTTTGATGTGATATGGTATTTCAACAGCCCAACACTCTGTTATCATGGCTTGTTATCTGGCTTGGTTGACCACTAGAGGTTTTGGGTACAGTGACTAGTTCCTTGAGCAAGGGAGTGGTTCCATTCACCATGAAGGAAACCTTTGTGAGATACCTTCCTGATTAACCATCCCTCCCCAAACCACAAGATTAAAACATTTGACTGTTTGCAAAGACCCCTTTTGAGCTAAGGTGTTCATGTAAGATGAACTCCTGCCCTTCTTGGATGTAACAGATTATATGGACACGTTTCACTGCAGTTCCAGAGTAGACCTGGTTTGGGGGCTGTCTTGGTCATCCTGACTACCTTAGACAGAAGAGACAAGTGTGACACTGTTGATTAATCTCTCAGCAGCTTTTGAGATAAGTGACACATGGGCAGGGGGGTGGTGGTCAGGACAGGAGCACTGCACTCTGGTACCAGAAGCTGACAACTATCCAGCCCAGTAGCATCTGAAATAGAAATCCCCCAGAGGGTTCTGTTCTGATTCCTATGCAGTTTAGTATCTACATGAAATCCTTGGGAGTGGGTCATTTGGGGATTTGGAATGAAGTGTCAGTAATATGCAAATAATACCCAGCTCTAGTTATCATTTTCAAATGGAAGCAGGTGGCAGAGTGGACATCCTGAACTATTGTCTGGAGGAGGCAATAAATTGGATGATGAACATTGGAAACACTACTAGACTTGCATTCACAGATGAAGGCAACAATCATCACCATAATATCTGCACTCTTTACCCCTTTTGATTGAAACATTAGCAGCTGCCCTTCCTTGGAAAGCATTGTTTGTTTACAGCTAACTATGCTCTTATTACACATCCAGCTTGGACTACTGCACATGCTGTGTGCGGGGCTGGCTTTGAAAACTGGATGTTTCAACTGGATCAAACTGTAGCCCTTACACTGATAGCTGGCATGAGTTACAGGGACTGCATCTCAGCAGTTATAAAAGCCCTGCTGGTTCACTTTCAGGCAAAATTCAAAATACTGGTCACTACACATAAAGGCTCTGTGGTGTAGCGCCAGAGTACTTGAAGGGCAGCCTTTCCCCATATGAACTTGACCACTGGTTCAGATCGTTCCCACAGACTATCACATACCTGCTTGCAGAAGGAAGGTGGATGTGCACCAGAGACAGTGTTAGCCCCAAGCTTATGAGTTCCTCCACCATGGAGGCTCACCTGGATTCAATTTTAATTCCAGTCAAAATAATTTTTATTCTATCAAAATTTCAGATTAAGCAGGCCACCACCAGTTTAAGATAATTTCTACTTTTACAGATTGTTTGATGTTACTCCAAAGAATGCTTTTAAGATACTTGCTCAACATTTTAACCTCCACAGCCACAAGTAGCTTTCTCACCATCAGGACCAGTTACCAATTTGCTTTGCATGAGCTGTATTTGTTCCTAGGAGTCCTTCAGCTATAAGTTCCTAGGAGTCTTTCAGCTATAAATTTTCTTTGCTGCCCCTTCCACCTGCAGTTAAATTGAATGGGATCTATATACCACTATAAGAAATCTAATTCAAGGTATTTTAGATGTTTATACTGCCCTTCTGCTAAGGAGCTCAGAAGAGTATATGTCACATCCTGCATTTTCCCACACAACAACCTTGTAAGGTAACTTATACTGTAAGCCACTGGCATAAGGTCAGCAAGGTTAATGGCCAAGGAAGGATTCAAATCCAGGTTCCCACCACTATGCTGAAAATTGTACTGAAGAGCTACTTGACATATGCTAAGAGAACACCATTTCCACACAACAAACAGAAGCTGTCTTCAAGAAAGTAATCTGGCAATGTATTAGCAACTAACATGTTAGCAGTCAGACCCCTCCTCCTGCAGAAGGAGCAGTTTAGCACATAGAGGTTAAAACACCCTTCATACAAATATCACCTCAAAAATCATAAATATGAAACACTGTCTGGCCCAAAATGATACAAAAATGGATGCCAGTCAGAGACGAACCAGAAACCTGAGAAAATATTTTTGAAGGTGAGGCGAAAGCGGCTAGCAACCCTATCCCCAGCAACATTTAACTCTATTCTTCAGACCTGGTAGTTTTCCAATCCAGCAATCACCAGGGCATCAAGAATCATTTACACCTATAGTCCACCTCAGAGCAACCTGTCAAGCATTATTTAAATATATAGTCCACTCCAGGAATTCCCATCAAAACTCTCCCAGAATCATTGTCCATCTCCAAGAAACCAATGAAGTTATTGCTTAGGGGGCAAACACTTCAGCATAGCCCCAAGGAACATTTTTCCTATAACTGTAGCACTCTGCTCCATTGTGCTGTGTGTTCTGGTCACCATAAACCATACCTACTTGTGTGTGGATCTCCTCCTCCCCATGAAACTCTGGTCATTTCGCTGTTGCCTCCACAGACCTCATTCTTCAGGATCGGTAACTATTGCCTTCCCTGAATTGCTTTCTCCCCCTCTCCCTTTATTTCCTCTTAGCTAGCTTGTGTGTGCTTCAAGTGTGTTTTGTATGTATTTTGCTCTATTTCTTTTAATAAAAAGCCTTACCGATTGAACACCGACCTGCTTATTTCAAGAGTTCTTTAAGGGAAAAATCCCCATAAACATTGGTGGAGATCCCAGTTACCCGCCTCTCCCTCTGTCTCCTTAAAGTTAATTCCCCCAATTAAATAGATTGCCTCTTTGGGGGTAACCGAATAGCCACAATTTCAGTAATGTCCAGAGAATTCTGCTAACGTGGTGGCTCGATTGGCTCAAATGCTCCTTCTAGCTTCAATTCTACAGAAGAAAGTATGAAGATTACTTCTTTCCCCCCATGAAATCAGCAATGTAGAGAAAGGGAGATGAGACATGCAACGAGAGAGAATGGAAGCCTCAGGAAAGGGATTGGGCCTCTACTTTCCTGAGCCTGACAGCATACCATAACATGATCCTCTGAATGCTTTTGACCTCAAACTCTTAGATGTTGTAAAATGACAATTTGTAAGCAGAGATTGTGCCCCTCATTGCTGCTGGAAACCTTCATTCCAGTTTCCAAAGGAAAGATTGTCAGAAATCTCACTCCCCACCACACAAAAAAATAAAAATTGGTGTATTTGTTGTATTAGTAGTTGCCACTTCAGAGATCTTTGCCATAGGCTGAGAGATCATAGGCTGAGAGATATCTGAAATGTGTGAAGGAAGAAGACCGTTTCCCACTGAAGGTAGAGGTTTAGTTTAATAGTAATAAGTGCATTTCAGATTACATAGCTACCACATTTCAGCTGTTGTGCCAGTTTCTAAATCATTCATGTATCACAGTTTAGGTCCAAGCATAAGTAATTTGTTAGGATTGCCCCAAGCCTAATGGAAGCAAGCTGTGACATACATACCTTTCCTAAAGATTCAGATGACGAGGACTCAGCTTGTACTGTATTAACACGGCGGCCAAGCATTTTTGTTTTGTGTTAGGTCTCCTTATTGTTGGTTGCTATGCTGCTGCTACGGCCAAAAGTAGGTAAAAGTTCTCCTCATTGGCACGTTTTCCCTGATGCATACAGGTGCTGCTATGCTTCATTTCTAGCACTGGCAGTGTACTGTATCGACTTCATCCCTATACTGCAGAACTGAGGGGTGACAGTATTTCTTTCTTAGCTGCCACCCTTCACTCACCAGTATGCAGCCTAGCAACTGCTAGTTTTACCATTATGATGCAAGTGCACCAACCTCCTACCAGAATTTTGGGTACAGTAGCATTAAGCAGGAATGCCTTTACCTTTAATAATGACCTACTGTCAATATAGCCCATATTCTATCCTCTATAATATAATCCAGGGGTCCCCCAAATTTTGAGCCTATGGGCACATTTGAAATTTTGAGAGGGTGTGGTGATTGTCACCCCAAAAACAGCTTCCACAGGAGGCAGAGCCAGACCCAAAACGGCTTCTGCAGGAGATGAAGCCAAAAGGAATACCTTCTTCTTCACACCTCCTGGGAAGGAAAGTCTGAAGAGGGAATGGAACCACGCATTAATTACGGAAAGCCCAGCTGCTTACCAGTCCTGATCTTCCAGTGTAAAACCCTTTCATATGAATGAGGGCAGCCAATAACAAGCCCTGCCTTATAATGGCCCCACCCAGTAAAAACTCACGAACACCAAGAGAAGTACTGGTGGGTACCATGCAGGGGAACTGTGGTATAACCTTTCCCTCTTTGCATTGCTATGATTTCTGCTATTCACTATGACAGCCAGTTATATAACCCTATTCGCAGAGCACCCTTTCAATGTGTTTTAAAGAAATCTGTATTGCAAAGAGTCATGAGGTACACTCAGTTCAGGCAGGCCACAGGAGCTGCTGATGTCCTAGGGAAGCAGGGTGCTGTTAAACATACCAAGACTTCCTAGCACCCGAATGTTTCAGGCAAAACTGAAATCCACCACAGCACAGTTTGTGAATACAACTCAAGGTTCACAAGTCTTGAGAAATGTAATCATTGATTGTTATACTGATTTCAAGAGTGGTTTCTTCCCAGTAAGAAGTTGTACTTGGGGAAAACAGCCCTCACAAATCATGAGAGAACTGCCCAATGAAGTCAATCAAACAATTCAAGTCACTGAAGTATTAAGCAATATAGGTGCAGATGCAGATCAATACTCAGTGTAGTCAGAAGTAACTAGGTGTACCTAAGCCAGACAACAAAAATGCTTTCCCTTAAATGATTAGGACCACAGGTGTTGCCGCAAAGGAATGAAATTGAATAAGGATCCCAAAGGACAATTTCTTCCCTCATTTCAATTTACAATTGCTATATGTTAACACCTTAAAAGGAGACAAGTACAAATTCAGAAGTACACAGAAACAATATGGGTTAATTGTAATATTTTATTGGAAAACAAATATACAACTTGGAATGGTTTTGAGGCAAGTTGTGCCATAAGCAGATTCTTTGAAAATAAGTGGCTGAACAAAAGAGTTAAAAGCATAGTTAAAAGCATAAAACCATAGAAGAAAATGTCTTCTGGTACAGGACCAGCAGTACAAAAAATAGTGTACGAGTACCTGGATAATACACCCGTTTTGCAATAGTGCAAACTTTTAAGTTCCATATTGTTGACTGTCCATAGTCCACACAGAGTTAAGACTACATTTCAACAACATGCTAAGTTTCCTAAAATAACTAATTTTAAACAGGCATAACCTAGATGTTCCCTCATTTAACCAACACCATCTAGCTGTAGAAGTGCTGAAGGGCTTAAATATCCAGAGTAAGCCACATGCAAACATTTGTTACTTTGATCATTTTCCCAAAATATCAGAATGACAGATAAAGGGGAAAACATGGAGGAATGAGTTCGTTACTATACATGCATATTCTCTTGACAGTAGGGGAAAACCTTTTACAGATAAGTTACAAACAGAGAAAAAGGCAAATAAACAATTTGTACAAGAAATTTAACACATTCTGTACAGTGTCTTCACTTTGCTGTCATCATTTGTACAAACTCTGCAGAGAGAAAAATAGTATGTTTTATTCAAGAATATCTGCTGCAACGTGTTCCAATCAAGAGCTATATAAACCTTCTTGTCTTGGCAAGATCATCCTCCTTGCCAGCACTATAGAAATTGCATGCATGCCTACAATGGTTTTGAAGTACTTCGCATCTTCGACGACAGGTCAGCAAGTAATAGGATTGTGGTTTTATTTTTACTTTCTAACTTTTTTGCTCTTCTAGGCTATTCTTCCATATAAACCAAAAGAAAGAAAAGCAATGGCAATTTAGAAGACTCATTCATTGCTAACCACATTCCCAATAATCTAGGTGCAGTTTAGATTAAAGATTCCTAAGATTTACCTGCTGGCTATCCAAGATCAGACAGATTCAAGTGTTAGGACTTCAGACAATTTTATTGTTTTTATTGCTCAATCAGAAGATGTTCTCAACCCGAAGTCAGAAGCTTGGCAACTTTATAATTATGCAGGTGGCCAAACTAAACTGCAATAATAGGCCAACCACCAATTAAGTCTGACAGAAAAATAGTCAGGGACCATTAATTTGGGAAGGTAACTGAACGTTCAAAGATCACTATCCGGGGAGCTGAGGGAGCCTACAGTCTGAGGGGAAGCCTGAAAGTCTTGCTGTACATATGAAAACAGCTGCAGTTCTGCAACCTAACTAGTACGGTCAGGGAGTTATATGTGTTTGCCCATATATATGTGTATGTATACTAGGGGTGTGCAAAAAAAAATTTTTGGCCCGATTCGGCAGAATTGGGCAGAATCAATTTCGGCTGGCAGAAAGACTCCCGCATGTCAATTTCAGCAGTAACATTGGGGAGCCAGGCGAATGTCAATTTCGGCCCCATTATATCCTATGGGCCATTGAAGTCAATGGCGAAAACAGAGGGTATATTCTGGGGGCTGAAGGGGGGGGGCTTTGAGGGAGAGGCTCCACACTTGCGGGGTAGCTGCTGGAACCTCTTCCCAAGACACCCACCAAATTTCAAGAACACTGGACCAGGGGGTCCAGTTCTACAGGCCCTCAAACAGGTTGCCCCCATCCCCTCCATTGTTACTTTTTTCCCACCATAGAGAACAATGGAGGCGATGGGGGCAACCTGTTTGGGAGCCCTTAGAACTGGACCCCTGGTCCAAGGTTCTTGAAACTTGGTGGGTATCTTGGGGAGAGGCTCCAGCAGCTACCCTACAGGTTTGGAGTCTCTCCCTCAAATCCCCTTCCCCTCAGCCCCCAGAATATACCCTATATTTTCGTCATTGACTTCAATGGCCCATAGGATCTAATGGGGCCAAAATGCCACCAAAATTCGGCAGCAAGCCGATTCAGATCAGAGAATCTGAATTGGCCCACAGCAGCCCGAAAGGGCCATTTTTGGGGATGCATTCTGTTCAGATGAACCAAATACACATCCCTAATGTAAACATACACACAGAGTAAATAAATACTTAAATTTACCTTCATAGTTTACTTGACCATCACCATCAATATCTGCTTCTCTAATCATCTCATCAACTTCTTCATCTGTTAACTTCTCTCCAAGATTTGTCATCACATGGCGCAATTCTGCAGCACTAATATAGCCATTACCATCCTGGAACACATGTTTAAAGTCCCTTTGTTAGCAGTGTAAATATATTTGTTATATTCAGATTTGAACAAGATATTATACCCATATTTCTAGAAGTGTGTAACCAGAACTATGTTCAGTTACATCTGCTGTAAATGCAACAGACAGACAAATCAACAGCTATATTTATCAAAGCTTCAGGTGCATTACTTCCACCTCTGAACTTCCTGCTCCACTCCTTAGAAAAAAGTTCCGACAATTTTTAGTGGTCGAGTTATCTTTTGTATTTGCTTCACTATGTAACTTAAACTTAAATACTTAAGTTATACAAAATTTAAACAAAATGTAAACAATAAATGTTTCTTATGAATGCTTTCCAAATCAGATGTAAACTAAGATTCAAAAATCAATACGAACTGAACATATTATTGCACAATATCTTAAGACCAGTTAGTAAGCAACTTGTCATCTGAATGTGGGATTGGTCTTAAGAAAAGATATTTAGTGTTTTTGGGTTTGTTCAAATGGACCAGCTAGCATAGCAGCCAATAACTTGTGTCAGTAATATGATGCAGTGGATGGCTAGCCCAAACAAGAGGCTATGAAAGCTTGTAAAACTAGATGGTTCCCTAGCAGAGTTAAATCTGCAATTATGGGCTTAAGTCTCACACAAAACTTGAAATAAGATCTAATATTTGTGGAGGCTATAAATGCACAGCCCTATGACGCACCTAGCTATGTTAGACAGTTACATTTAGTTATTCTGTTCTCCTAAGCTGGTTTTCATTTGTTCTTTATATAAAAATAGATGATTATAATTCAAGTTAGTTATTGCATTTGCATGAAATTTTGGAAATTAAAGTTTTAGAGTGAACAAACTGTTAAAACTACACGACATCTGTATTTCAGTAACTTTGTACCAGTCAGGTCTTAAGATATTGTGCTACTGATGTGTTCAGATCGCATCAATTTTTGAATCTTAGTTTACATCGGATTTGGAAAGCATTCATAAGAAACATTTATTGTTTACATTTTGTTTAAATTTAACCTGTTCAAGTTATTTTAAGTTAAAATGAAATATTTTCATAGATCTCCCAAGCAAGACAATGACTGAGATACTAAGCAGACCCATGCACACAATGAGGGAAGAAGGCATTTTTTGCAGTTTCCCCCCCAGCAGTCCTCCAATTTTGCCCCAAATGTTGTTCCTGGTAATTCCCCAACAGAAGTACTTCAGGAGGCATTCTGGGCTACAGAAGGAAGGGCAAGGCAAGAAACTGCTTTGCAAACAGAAATCCTGCTGCCTGCTGTACATTTTGGTGGAATCCATAAAGTATTCTGTGCTGTCTTCTTCAAAGTTTGATACTATATGCTTTGCAGAAATAATTGTTTTTCTGGTTTCTCCACTTCATCTGATAGCTATTTCTTTCCCAGTCACTTTTTGCCATCTTCATTTCTAGATCACTTCTCTCCCCAAGGAAGACCCAAAGTGGTTTACAACATCTTCCCCATCTAAGGGTCACCACTTGCATGAATTTTTGTACACTGACATAGGTACCCTAATACAAAACTATGCAAGTTACATCAGATAAGGTGGTTAAGTATGAAACCCAACGTTCTCCTTTTCAATAGGAAGGGTCAATGCCCGCTTTTTAAAAAGGAAACTGCAGTTTATAGAAATCAGATCCTCATATCAGACTTCCAAATACTAGGTTCCGTGAAAAGCACTCAAGTACAAGACGTCATCCAAGAATCAGCCCTCAGGCTCTTTACTATAAATTATTTTTAAAAAACTTATCTGCCCCACAAAATGGATCGAGCAGTCTCAGCATCAGTGAAGGCTGAGATCTGATTTGTTTTCTGTACTTCCCAACACTTATAGATGCATTCAAACAGCCAGAGCAATGCAACACGCAGGTTAAATTTTGCTCAAACAAGCACACCAGTTAAAATCTTCCAGCAGAATGGAAAGGCTTCATGAACTTGATCTTCCTTTCTCCGTGCAACCCTGTGCCACAAGAAAGGTTTTTATGCCTCACCTCAGGAACAGAGTGGGATGGAGTACAATGTGTGTACTGCACCTCTAGAGTCATTGCCGACAACTCTTGCATAAACATGTTTACAAGTAGAGCGAGACCTTACAAGAAGGAAGATTGATTTCTGCCACTCCCCAAGCCATATCCCAAGGGGGACACAGTATACGTCCCTCAAAGGGCACTGAGATCAGCAGATAAGAATCTCCTGGTGATTCCCAGCCCCAAAGATATCCAGCTGGCCTCGACCAGGGCCAGGGCTTTCTCAGGCCTTGGCCCCAGCCTGGTGGAACTCTCTGCCGAATGACATCCATGCCCTGTCTGATCTATTAAAATTATGCAGGGCATGCAAGGCAGAGATGTTCCGCCAGGCCTTTGGTTGAGGCCAGCGACAGTTCCTTTACATCTGCCCGGCACCCCCCCCCCCCCCAAAAGCTGACGGACAAAATCCCCACACTACCTGTCCAGCACCCCCCCCCCCCCCGAAGAGCTGAATGCTAAATATGCCATCTTGTTTAAAATATTTAAATATCTATGTTGAATGTTTTAAACTGTAGTTTTCACTGGTTTTAAAATTGTATTGGATTTTATGGCGTTGTAAACTGCCCTGAGCCCCACACAAGCGGGGAAGGGTGGTTAAGAAATCGAAATAAATAAATAAATATTCCATACATTTAAAAAGTTACTGTAGTGTAGTGGTTAAGAATGCTGGACTAGTATCTGAAAGGCCCAGGTTTAAACCCCCACTTGTGCCACAGACACTCACTTGGGCCAGTCACAAACTCTCTCAGCCTAACCTACCTCTCAGGGTTGTTGTGCAGATAAAACAGAGAATGATGTAAGCCACTTTAAGTATCCACTGGGGAAAAGGTGGGATATCAACGAATTAAATAAATGCTATTAATGGTTTGGTGGACCCAACCTACTGTTCTTGGGTAGTCCCCTGAAAATACACACACAACTGATCGAATACCTTATCAAATACACGGAATGCTTCTCTAATTTCCTCTTCACTGTCTGTATCCTTCATTTTTCTTGCCATCATTGTCAAAAACTCCGGAAAGTCAATTGTCCCGTTGCCTGTAAAATAGTAGCTGTTAATAGAAATCATTTTGAGCATTAGTAACTGAACTGCTTTAGATAAAGCTTACCATCAGCATCTACTTCATTGATCATGTCCTGCAATTCCGCTTCTGTTGGATTTTGCCCAAGTGACCTCATCACTGTCCCCAGTTCTTTTGTTGTTATAGTGCCATCTCCATCCTTGTCAAATAGTGAGAAGGCTTCTTTGAATTCTGTAGAACAGAAAGATTAAGCAGCTCAGGTTGAAAATGTTTGCAGAAGTTACTTTTGCAACTATATACAGACACAGCTACTTATGTTTAGATCATAAAAGCCACTGATGTAGCTTACACATACAGAACACATCTAAGAAACTGATGAACAACCAAGTCATTTGATTTTAATACAATTTGTTATACCTCTGTCTATTGCCCTGCATAGCATTTGTCACTGGCAAAGCCAGAATTAAGTTGATTTCAGCTCTGATCTCAGTATCAGTTTGTACAAAAAGCAACTTCCAAGAACATAGCAGGAAGGTATGGAGTGGTTTTGTTGCCCCAGAAGGCTGGACCAGAACCAACAAGTTGAAATTAAGAGTTTTCGGCTAAACATTAGGAAGAACTCCCTGACAGTTAGAGCAGTTCCTCAGCGGAACAGGCTTCCCTCAGGAGGTGGCGGGTTCTCCTTTTTTGGAGGTTTTTAAACAGAGGCTAGATGACCATCTGACAACACTCCTGCTTCTGTGAGGCAGATCATGAGAGGGAAGGCAGGAAGGATTGCCTCAGTGCTTAGTTCTCTTGGCCTCTTATTATACACCCAGGGAAATGCTGATCGCTACTTTGGTGTCAGGAAGCAATTTTTCTCCAGGCCAGTTTGGCCAGGGATCCTGGAGGTTTTTTGTCATCTTCTGGGCGTGGAACAGGGGTCAGTGGGGGGAGGTATTTGTGAATTTCCTGCATCATGCAGGGGGTTGGGACTAGATGACCCTGGAGATACCTTCCAATTCTGTGATTCTAAGTCTCCAGCAGGGAATGAAAACTAATGTCCCCAACATCTTATTCAAAGATACGCTGCTTCCAACATTGAAGTCCTTTGAGCCATAGCCAACAGCTGCTAATGGATCTAATGTAATTTAAGCCAGTGGCAGACAGTTAAGCCAGTTCATGATGTAGCCTGAACTCCATATGCTAGCTATGCACTAACAAATAGTACTTCATTTTTGCCTCATTGGAACAAACTGCCAGTTTTCAGTATATCCAAGTTCCAGAACTTCTCCTATAACATTGATGATTTCTTAAGCCTCCCACCTCTACACTGAAAAGGACCAAACATATTAGAAACTTCACAGGAAAGACAAAAGCCTGTTGGTTTGTTGTTATCCCATCATTCTGAATGGAACAATATGAACCAAACACTATAATCCAAACATATATAGGCACCAGCTTGGATCCACCAGTGTTTTCACAACTAGATTTCTGCTAGCAGAGCATGACTTTCTTACCTCCCCCTTCTTGCTGTAGTGTGAACTGCTGGGGGGGGGGGGCTGTTGCCCAAGAATAAGCTTTTCAGGTGCCATTTTGGGCTATACTGGGAGGTAACAAGCAAGTCATGATCAGTAAACAAAAATTGTTCCATGCTATGGAGGATCCAAACTATTATAAAGATCAACAAGAAATAAGTAAAAAGCTTCTAAAGGTTGTCTGCTTGGACTTTCACATCCTGAATAATTTAGCATCATCCACAAACCTGGCTCTCTGCTGCCAATTTATAAATTAAAATAAGCTCCAGTTCCAACATGGATCAATGTAGGACCCTCACAGATTCAGTAATAAACACTACTGTGTTTATTATTAGGCCATTCTTGTTATTTAACCAGTTACTGACCCACAAGACAATCTCCCCTTTTATTTCATTAGGAGCCACCTTTGGCAAGAAATTAATACTTTTCAAAGTCCAAGTGTATTATGGGTCATACCCTCACATCGTTAAGAAAGGTAGCATGTTCCATAGGAGGAACAGCCTCTTGTGTCAGCAGGGTGCACTTTATACCCACAGAATGTACTACCATTAGCCAACCAGGGTAATAGGATACAATACCAATCCCCAAGCTTGATGATACTTTGACTCCACAGAAATCTGTATTGCAATATTTCCCTTACAAAAGTTCCTTGATAAGGTTTGCTCTTACATTTCCCATTTTTGTTTTAACATTCAGTTTACCTGGGACAGAAGCTAGACTAATAGATTTACAGAAAGGCCCAGGGGAATCTAACTCTAATATTTTTTAAATACTCTTGGAGATACTACTGACCCCAAGTGATATGTTAATTTGGAACCTGTAGATTAGTAGTTTCAGTTGTCACCTAGTGGATGCCTCCTCAGATAACCTCCTGGAAAGTAATGGTTCATACACATGCATTTCTTTAGGAAAGATTTTCACTTGCTTCTGAAAAAACTGCCCAGAAACTTTTCATCCAAAGGTCCAGTTGCTATGATGGGCAAAATCTGCATTTTTGTCAAACCACAAACTGATACAAACCAGGGTGGTTCGCGAACTGAACTGGTTCATGACCCCTGCTCTCTGCTCCCCATTGTTCAGCTGTTTTCTTCTTCACAAACTGCCACAAACTGCCTTAAAATCTGAGGAAGTTTGTGGCAGCTCTTCAGTTTGTGAACACAAACTGCCCAAAATTAGCCACGAACTTATGTTCATAAGTCGATTTGTGCCCATACCTATCCAGCTGCCTCTTAACTGGTTTCATTTATTGAGTATTTAAATAAGTTAGTGAGTTCTGTACTTTAAGCAGTGTGCTCAAATTCATTTCTATGTGTTTTGTTTCATTAGAGCAAAATTTCTCATAAGAGCAAAATCTCCACAATTAAAAAGGAAAGCATTTTTGTTTACTTCACAATACTTAACCATGTTGGCTTCCTTTTAGTCTGTGGTATTCTTTCTAACCTACCTACCTACACACACACACACACTCTCTCTCTCTCTCTCTCTCTATCTATACACACACACACACACACACACACACGTTTTAAAGTATTGCCAAATGTTATGACTGGATTTTACTTTAATTGCTCCCTTCATTTTTGTAGGTTGCACTTGAGAAAATCTTCCTCCAAAATTAAATACTTTCAAAACCTACATGCTGAGTTTAACAGTGCTCTGATCATTGTCATAAAGCCACTTGGGAATACTTATTCCAGCCATCTGTTCTGTTGGGTGGTCCAAGTCATATGTAGAAATGTACTTTAAGATGGCAGACACTGAACCAAAGCATATAATAATGAATGTTTTATTATACATTAACTCTTCCACCCTCATTTTGTAGAGTGCTTTCTCTGTATACAGACACACAAAACTGGTAACCAAGAACATTTCATACATCTAAGCGAGCTCTAGCATCCATGACTTTATGCCACAATAAATATTTTAAGCCAAGGTGCCACAATACTTAGCTGTTTTTGGTTGCAACTAACCCAGCTACCCTTTGGAATTTTCTTTTGGCTGCCTTGATGGAGAAAGAAGTCATCTGATGGTTGTAATAAGGTTTTGGTAAAGGAGAAAATGATTGCTGTATATTATTTTTATGTAGTATTTCTTCTCAGTTATTAGCAGGAACATGGTCACAAATATGTTAAATGTGACTCAAAGTTTTGACATGCAGCACCAGCATGTAGCTTATTCCTTCCCTTCAAGTAAACTATGTATCCAAAGAGAACTATAGCCACTTGATTACCACTAGAATTACACCAAGCATTTCTATTCTAGCCATTTCCCCAGGCTTGGCAGGTTCTAGAGTGAACATACAATGGAATTGGTTTTTTTAGTTTGGTTTCTAGTTTTACTTCCCACTTCGGTGGGAAGGTAACAGCGTTCCGTGCGCCTTGGTGTTTAGTCATGCCGGCCACATGACCACGGAAACGTCTTCGGACAGCGCTGGCTCTTCGGCTTTGAAACGGAGATGAGCACCGCAACCCTAGAGTCGGATTCGACTGGCTTTCGAGCAAGGGAACCTTTACCTTTACTCTAGTTTTACAGTGTTCCAACTATATACATTTGCCTGAAAAGATCTCCTACTTTAAATATCACACAACAGAATTTGAGCAGAAAATACTCATTCATTAATATAGCTTCCTTCCCTTTAAAAAGTTCCTACTCTCACATGTTTTCCTTCCACCCCAAATAAGGAAAACAGATGAAAAAGTTTCCCTAAATTATCTGTAATCTATTCACAATATGCTCCTTTATTATTGCTTCCCAGGATTAATGTGCACTCCATTCTGTAGTTGCAGAATAGGGGAGTGTGGAAAAAGCAGAACTATAAAGACTGACTTCATTCAGTGCTTTAATTCTTTCCATCTACCAGCACTTCTTCTGATTTCTTTAAGGAAGGGGATAGATAAATTCAGAGTCCCCAGTGGGTATCTTGGATTAAACACATCAGTTATTTATTTAATTCATTTATACCCTGCGTTTCTCCCCAGTGGGGACCCAAAGTGGCTTACATAATTCTTTTCTCTTCTTTTTTATCCTCGCAACAACCCTGTGAGGTAGGTTAGGCTGAGACAGTACAACTGGCCCAAGGTCACCCACTAAACTTCCATGTGCACCTGGGTCTTCCAGATACTTGTTTATCACTCTTAACCACTACACCACATTAGCTCCTATTACATCTCAGGGAAAACAAATTCTAGTGCTGTCCTTGAATCTTAAGTGACATTTGGGGCTTCATCTATATTTAATGCCCTAAGACCAATATGATTTAAATTAATCAACTTTGTGAACCACTTGTTAATTGCATCAAAAAAGGAAAAAAGAAATAAGTCACTCTACTTCAGTGGTAGAATAAAAATCAGTCACTGAGTATGTCTAGCTTATTATGTATTCAAAGGCAAGTTTAGTATAAAGTATCCTGGAATTAACCTGAGCCTAAAAGGGGCAGAAGCTGAGCCAGCATGGCTGTCTTCTAACAAAGACAGCAAGTGTTACTGCCAGCCCCAAGTATTATACTGTTCCTCTCTTTCAAAGACTACTTCAGTGCCTCCACAACAAATAATATTTACTCCCCAGAATTACTAGACAGGTCCAAGAAGTGCCCCATACTTTTTGTGCATAATTGTTTCTTTGACCTTACAGCTAGGTATTTCATAAGGTAGTCTTACAACCCCCATGGCATTTATCGCACATAGATAAAATATCACACTATTAGTGCTGAATGGGACTAGCATGATTAAAAAACACTTTTCTGCTGGAAAGATCCTCACTGTCAATTTCAATATTCCTTATATTATCTAGTAATATTACATTCTTACACCTTATGTAGATGACAACACATATTACAAATAACAGCTTTCCACGTAGAGTAGAAAGTGTTAAGTCATTTGCCATTGGATTAAACTAAAGGCTTGACTCCATGGAGTCTTTATCTTGCTTCTCCTCAGAAAATGCAAGCCCTTAATGGCTGAGCTCCTTTCTGATATGCCAATCACTATTTAAGAGACCTAGCAAAGCACACCCAGTTTGAGAACAGTGAACACTCTCCAGGCCACAGCTAGTAAAAGAATAAATGTGCAGTACCACTGTAGCCAATACAGTGAAATTGAAAGCCTTTATATATTCAGTGAATACTGTAGAAAGCCAATATTCATTGTAACAGATTTCAAGGTCTGTTCTTTGAAGAATGCTAGAACAAAGTTATTTCATTTCCTTGATACTACTATGTAATTGTCAGTTGAGCACAACCAATATGGCAACTAGAATCAAAATTAAGCCAGCAACCAGTTCCTGCTCATTACATGCTCCCATAAAAATTAATGTTATAAGTACAATTTTAATACAAAAATTTACTTTTAGATCTTACATTTGGCTAATGGTGCCAAGCACAAGGTTGCTTTGTTTGGTCACCATCTCTGGAGAGTTAATATGGCTCCAGATTTCTGAACTGGCTCGCCACACCAAGATGATGCACAAGGAAAAAAAACCTTCTCATCTTTTCATTATTTTACAACTTCAAGAACATTACACACAAGTATTTGACTATATCACAGGAAAAACAAGCATTATAGTATAAATGCACAGTAACCACACAATAAAAAGCAACTGTTAAGACAGTAATGGAAAGTCTCTTACAGTTAAATTTTAGCCATATTACTGCATTAGTGAAATAAAATTATAAACAAGTAGGAACCAAAAATGTTCTTATTACCTGTTACTTCAATAATGCAATTACATAAATTATACATCAAGTTGATCTCATATAAGTCTATATAACCTTACCTGCAATCTGTTCCTCTGTCAGTTGATCAGCCTGCAAAATATCAAAAAGGTCAAGTTAGTTACCTTGGAAATAAGCATCAAAAGAGTCACTGGTTCCCCCAAATACTGCCAATTAATTCGAGATTACCTACAAAAACTTCTAATATACATAAATCCAGCCCTATCCTCAGATTCATAACCCTTGAGACTTAAGGGAAGCACAGAAGAAAAAGTAGAGGACAGAGAATGCTAAAAGTCTAAGGTGAGTTTTGGCAGACATTTACATTCAGCTGGGGACAAGACGATATTTTCAAGTTAGTGACATTCTGGAAAGGAATGCAAGTTCCCAAAGGCTGCAGCGGAGGAGGAGGAGGAGAAGAAGAGGAGATCGGATTTATACTCCGCCCTTCACTTGGAGTCTCCTTTCCCTTCCCCTCCCCACAACAGACACCCTGTAAGGTAGGTGGGGTTGAGAGAGCTCTTTCAAGAACTGCTCTTTCAGGGACAGCTCTTGTCAGAACTATGGCTTGCCCAAGGTCATCCAGCAGCTGCAACTGGAGAAGTGGGGAATCAAACCCAGTTCTCCCAAATTAGAGTCTGCACACTTAACCACACTAATCCTCTTGAGACTTGCAAACAGGCTGTTTTTCTTGAAAACTCTGCTGCCAAATCAGGTTCTGTCCAATGGAGGATCCTCTGCCCAAATGTTAAAGAGGGCCATGTTGATCTTAGTAGCTTATGACAAACAGCCGTTGCCTTATGTGAACTGGAGTCTCTTAAACCAGTTCATTCAAATGATTATTATACTAGTACCATTCTCAATAAATTAATGAATGAAAAGTATAGCATTAATATAGTTTAAGTGGTTTAGTGTTACAGGTTATTCAGAAAAGCACTAATAATGCATCATGAGAGCAGAAAGGTGAGGTAGAAATTTTGTAAAGTAAATCAATAAAGAATAGCAGAAATCTGAGCTGTTTCAAGAGATCTGTTATTGCAAATGGTATATTCCAAACTATGTCATCAAAGTACTAGCCTAAAGGAGCTGAACTTTATGTCAAATTAGTGTCACTGGATAGCTGCTGTCAAAGTTTAATATAATGCTGTATGAACTGCTTGATAAGTTCCCTAATACAATGTTCCATGCTATGAAGTTACAAACATCTTTTGATGCTATAAGACAAAAAAATGTAGCCTGAACATATAGGTAACTTTCCCCATTTAACAGAATCACCTGAACTTATTTGTAGATAGTGTTAAGCGAATCTTATCAGAAGCACCATGCAATTCCGTGAAAATAAGTCTTTTCTGTTTTCCAGTAAAGGCAAGCAGTTTGTAACATGAAATAATGAAACAGGCCTTTATAGTTATTACAAATAACTTCAGAACAACCACTTTTACTAAGTTGTGGTACAAGTCAACAGAATTACTCCTACTATACAAGGAAGTATAACCAAGTTGCCCTATAAAATGCTAACTACAAAATGCCCTCTTGTTGAGCCCAGTGCTCAAAGCTTTGCAAGATGCCAGCACAAGCCAATTTATACCCACCAGATAATGCCCAAGGTACAATACTGCTTCAAGACTTTTATCATATCTTGCTTCTTTTCAAGTGGAAAAGTTTGAATAGTGCAATAACTGTATTTCTACTAGTGAATAACTAATTTCGGAAATTAGAGCCTAACAAGAGCAGGACTCACGAAGATTTGTGTGGTGGGGGAAATCCCATCTCCCTAGCTGGCTTCCGGTTCTTCAACCCTTACTCTCCAAATGTCACTTTTTATATCCTCCCCATCTAAACCACAATGCTGAATGATCTTATGTCAGTTGGCTTTTAAATTTGTGATCACTTCTGCTGGTGTGTGGTGGGGAGAGGATATTTCCATAATTTAGTTTTGGACTTTTTTTTAATGCAAACAGATTCTCCAAGGATTGTCAAGATCTCCCCACTGGCACAACTATGTAGATTTTTTAATCTGTATCCTGCATGGAATACCTATATTGTACAGCACGTACAATATACCACCTTAGAAATACATACAAGGTATGTTTAACAGAAAAACAAAAGGCTAGTGAGTGTTCTGTAATTCTTCCATGAAATAGTAAGAAAAGACTTAAAGATCATGGTGAACAAAGTTTTAACACCAGTTTCCGAAAATATCACAAAATTCTAGTCAGATGAATTCTATTCCATTGTACTTCAGTTAGAGCATTAAAATGTGCCTTCATGTCCCAAAATGAGATAATTAACAGGGCAATATAGAACTTAATATCACCCTGTTAATCACCTCATTTGGGGACATGAGTACCACATTTCGAACATGTCTCTCATTTGGGACAGGAGTTCATTCAGCAAGTGTCCACAAAGGCAGACATGGACAGACTAGTCACCAATCAGACTGACTATTTAAATTGATATGCCCAAGCATGAAATGTTTGTTTGGAATACTGTGTGCAGTTCTGGTCACCACACCTTAAAAAGGATATTATAGCTTTGGAAAAAGTGCAGAAAAGGGCAACTCGAATGATAAAAGGGTTGGAACACTTTCCCTAGGGCTCTTTAGCTTGGAGAAACGACGACTGAGAGGAGACATGATCGAGGTTTATAAGATTATGCATGGGATAGAGCAGGTAGAGAAAGAGGTACTTTTCTCCCTTTCTCACAATACAAGAATTCGTGGGCACTCCATGAAATTGCTGAGCGGTCGAGTTAGAACGGATAAAAGGAAGTACTTCTTCACCCAAAGTGTGATTAACACATGGAATTCACTGCCACAGGAGGTGGTAGCAGCTACAAGCATGGACGGCTTCAAGAGGGAATTAGATAAGCATATGGAGCTGAGGTCCATCAGTGGCTATTAGCCACAAGGTATAGGTAGAGGCTCTGGGGCAAGTGATGCTCTGTCTTCTTGGTGCTTGGGGGGGGGGGTCAACAGTGGGAGGGCTTACAGGTGGACCTCCTGATGGCACTGGTATTTCTGGCCACTGTGTGACACAGAGTGTTGGACTGGATGAGCCTTTGGCCTGATCCAACATTGGCGTCTCTTATGTTCTTATGTTTGGATTAAACTGTTCCAGCCTCAGAAGCTAGTGTGGTGGTTAAGTGCACGGACTCTACTCTGGAAGAACTGGGTTTGATTCCCCCATTCCTCCACTTGCAGCTGCTGGATGACCTTGGGCAAGCCATAGTTCTGGCACAGCTGTTCTTGAAAAATAACAGTTTCTGTCAGAGCTCTCTCAGCCCCACCTACCTCACAGGGTGTCTGTTGTGGAGAGGGGAAGAGAAAAGAGTTTTTAAATCGCTCTGAGACTCTGAGTGAAGTGCGGGGTATAAATCCAATCTCTTCCTCTTCTTATGTATAGGACTATATTAAAATTTTTATTTTCAGAATCATTACTTAAACCCCTCCAAATATAAGCTAATATTCTTTCAAAGATTTCATTTTACCACATTTTAGTTAGTTATGGAATCAGCAAGTCTGTTTCTGGGAGCCTATCAGAGTGATCCTTTCCAAGACAGCAAACGTCTTAGTTCTCTAACGACATTGTCTGGCAGACTTCTTAAAGAAAGATCCATTATGATTACACAGCATGCTAACAGTTGTCGTCAGTGTGCTCTTAAAGTTCTAAGACTTCTAGGACATCAGTTGTTACTTCATAAAAGCTGACAAGCTTGTCAGCTATCATTAAGTTCAACTTTCAAAATCACAGAGGAGCAGTGGGAACTCTTCGGCCAGTTGTAGGCTTAGATGGGGCAGTAAGTGTGTCTGCCACAGGCCTGAATGGCACTGGTAGGTACCTAAAATAGGGGTCTTCAGCCCATGGGTCAGAATCCTCAGGGGGGTTCTAGAACCTTACCTGGATTATGAAACCCTAAAGAGCCATCATTCTGTTCCCTTTTGAAAGGCCATGCCACTTTTATGCATGGACAGAGACCAGGACACTACCCTACTTTTTTACCTGTATGCCTAGAGGACCAGTAAGGGAGGAAGGATGCTTCATGGTGGAAAGAATTCCTCAATGACTCTAACTTACAGTTATTTCTCATTATGGTACATCTTTTGGTACTCAGGTTGTGCTTCCTCATCCCTGATTTATGTGCTGCCCCCAGTCTTGGTATCCACACTCATTAAGGTCATAATTTTGTCTTCCTCTTTCCTACCATGTAACTGGAGTCTTATGACTCCCTGTCATATACTTCCACCACAGAGAGTCTTATGCTCAGCAAGTACTGGGCAGGGAAAGTGTGAAGTTCAATGTCCCAGGATACAACTCAGTTCATTACAATATGCAGGGATTCTGCTAAAAGTGAACTGGGGATTCCGCTGTTTATGTAACTTGCTTAATTATAATTTTTGTGTTTTGTCTTTATTGCATTTTTTCTAAGATAAAAAGTACAAAACAATGTGGAAAAATTTCAGACAGTAGGAGATCTGAGACTCATTGTTTTAAGCTTGAGGGAAGCCAGAAACCATTGCTTTCATGGCTTTCAGCACCATTCCAACTGCAAAGGGGGTGAGCAGAAAAAGCCTTCTGTACTGCAGTGGAAAAAGAACAGAAAATGAAGGCAGAGCCAGTCCAAGTGCACACTCGGTTGAAGTATGATCATTCCATTGTAGCTGTTCACTAAGAGAATTGTGGGAAGATAAATTCAGACTGAATTTTTCTCTTTCCTGCTGCGGGTATTTAAAGCCTAGGAATGGGGGCACAAGCCTCTTACCCATCACCTTGATGCACTAACCCAATGGACACCAGTTCAGGATGTTGTGTACCTTGTTTTGCTTATAGTGTGATTTATTTAAATTTACTTAAACTGTAGTGTCTTTTTGTAAGTGACTTTGGGTCCCAAAAGGGGAGAAAAGAAGAATTAAAACATACTAAGTATAAATACATACCCCCGAAGTGGATACTTTCATGCAACCATAAATACGGCATACACATTTTACTAAGCGGAGGAGAGGAGAATGATGTAAACTACTCTGGACCCCACTGGGGAAAAAGGTGGGATATAAATATATTTTTAAAATGAAGTTGTCAAAGGCTGTCACAGAG